TAATTAGAATGTATAACAATAAGATTTAAGATTTGTAAATGAAATTTATTTTTTCTTAGTTTTCATTGTAAAATTTTATTTTAGTATACTTCGCCACAAATTCGCACTAACTGTGAATAAAAATATGTTTAATCTAACCAAGGGAGCTCTGCTAATTCAATTTTTATTGGCCTGAGCCCATTGCAATTTATTAAAACGTTATTTCAGTTATACCTATTTTTAGGTACTACTAACAACCTTGAGTCTGAAAATATTTTAATTTATTAAATAAAGCTGTTTTCGACCAAGCAAATTAACAACAGTAAATATATAATTATTTTTTCTTTTAATATTTCGTCCTCTATGCATAAAAATATGATTGGGCAAAATATTCTCAATAATATAATATGGTTTGGAGTAAGTGCTGCGGTCCATGCTAGGGTCGATGAAAGGAACCATATTTAAAAAAGGAATCTATATTAAATAATAAATATGAATATGATTATTTCTATATTAATATTGAAATATTCGCTCTCTATGCATAGAAATATAATTGAGCGAAATATTAACATTCAGTTCACAATAAAATAATAGAAGTTGGTGCTCGCGTCTGTGCTCGGGACGGTGCTCAGATCGGTGCTCGGGTCGATGCATATGATCGACCAGGTCGACCAATTTGGTTTTGGTTCATTTTTTCGACCAAAAACCAGGGTCGTGGTCGTGTAAAACCAACTAATTAACCAAACTAGAGCAAACTTCTTATTAGGAGTATATTTCATCGGTCCAAAAGAAAATTTTTGATAATTATTTATTCATAGGAATGTACATAAAATATTTCAAAGCATTCGAAATAAAGGGGTGCTAGCATTTAAAAAAAATTTTCACCATTTTTTTTCCGCTAGATGATAAATAAGTAGTTCATTCTCTATATATTGCTTAAATACAGGATAATTTTACTTCTCTAAGAAAAGAATTAAGAAAATAGAAATAAATAAGAAATATTTTAGATCATTTGACGTTATTACATGAATTATTTATAATGCAACATATTTTGAACATGAACTTAAAATTTTTATAACTTAGCAAACAACTCAGTTTTATATTTTTAATTGATAGGAAATTACGATGATAGTTTTATATTTTTTGTTGATAGGAAATTACGATGATGTACTAAAGTTTACTTAGTAAAAAAAAACAGATGAAAAAATACCATTTGGGCGTGGGTATATTTTCTAATACAAAATACTAAAAAGTATACCCAATATTATTATAACTTAACAAACAACTCACTTTAATATTTAATTGATAGAAAATTACGATGATAAATTATAATTTACTTAGTAATAAAAAACAGATTAAAAAATACCATTGGGGAGGGGGGGGGTTGACTTTTAAACCATCATTGATATACCTATTACTTTTATTATTTTTTAGCCAAAGTTTAGACCCCATATAAAAATTTCACTAGAAAAGAAATAACAAAAAAAAGTAAAAATTAGATATTTTATATAATTCCGATGAAACGGTTTAGGGATGTATTGACATTTAATAAAATAAAATATTCATAAAAAGACCGATTCGCCTATCTGATCCCTGTCTAATCATTAACATTAACATTCAGATTCTATTCACTTAATTAAATGATGAGTGACAGGTCTCAGTCTTATATGATCATTGTGCGATCAGAATTTTCGACAATAAAAGCCAAGCTTATTAATATATTTCTATTTATCATTTTTAAAAAATGAAGAATCTAGTTGTGTTATTTTATAAAAAAATTTAAAGCTTAGATAAATTGGGGAGTATAAATCGACTTCCCTAAGCGTTTTCGTATAAAGCCTCCATTCACAGTTACTGAGAATTAGCGGAATACAAAAATGAATGTAAAATTACTTATATCATATATTTTGTGCACATTACCTCTAATTCGCGCTAACTTTAAAAAAGGTGGTATGATCTGATTTGGATCTTTTTATGTCTCTTTTATTCTAAATTAATATAAAAAGAAATTAAGTAGTTAGACCAATATTATGATTATAAGTCTTTTTTAATATGTAGAGGAAAAAAAAGCTCTTTGAAAATGTGTCCTAATGCCGCCATAATAAAACGCCATCTCGTTGAAGTGTAAATGCGATAAATTGTCATAGTTATAAATTATCGAACTAAATGTCATGTAAGGGGAGGGGGTGGGAGGGAATAAAATATAAATTAATAGAATTAAGAAAAGAAATAAAGAAATATGTTAGAACGGTTGACGTTATAACATAAATTATTTATTATGCAACATACTAAATATGCAATATAATTATATGATTTATAATAATTTTTGATTAGATTTTTAATAAATTTTAGAAAATTAATAATATATATAAATTTTTATTAAAAATAACACATAATTTTATTTTTATTTGATTCTTATTGGATATTTTTGTTTTAAAGAATTCAACTTCATTCTTTTGAATTTTTTTTTCCGATTAATTTAAATATGATTTTAAACTATTCAGAAATTGTATCATAAGTTTACGATTTTTTATCATTAAATTAACACACATTCTTGATCAAATATTATAATAACAACAGTATACATTGCAAGCCGTTGAAGGCCTTCGAGAAGCTTGGATTCTACGTGAGGATTTTTAATTTGTTTGTATGGATACTTGGCGTATTAGGTAATGCTATGGGGCTTTATGCAGCCTGGAAGGATAAATCGAAATACGTGAGAGTAATTTTGATGAAAACCTTTTACGCTATAAATCAGGTCTCCTTGAAATTTATGTTATGGTATCCTTTGCTAAAGAGTTTTAAAATATTGGCGATGGAAATTTTGGTATGGTAAAGCTTTGAGACATTACCTAGCTAATATAGTGTTCCCACTATCCAGGATCTTTTTTAACCTCTCCATATACGTCCTATTCGCCTTTTTACAAATAGTAGCCATATTATATCCCATCTATTACAGGCAACATTTCACTATGCGTAGGATCAAATTTATGATTTTTGGATGCTTCGTTTATGTACTAATATGGGTTTTACTCAATGCTTGGTGGATCAAAGTGGTCAAGGTTGATATTTGTGAAGTGGATTTCGCCACCTACATGTTTTACCCGCCAAATTTTTTACCTAACAAAATGTCATGGGAGAAAAACGCTTGGATTACGTATGCACTCTTGAGAGAATTTTTGACAAAATTCTTACAAGTAAGTATGATCATTATTTTTAACATCTGGTCCTTGAAGCAAAGGAAAAAGTTGCTGAAATATAAATCTAGCCTTAAATTATCAAATCAAGTAGGAGAGAGAGTTGAGATAAATTCCAACTTAAATTCCCAATCAACCTTTACCAATGTACAATTAAGAGTGAACGATTCCATAAAGACTCTCAAATACGATAGAACTACAAGTCCCAAAGATTTGATCGATGCTTAAAAACTCAAAATAAAATTCAGATGGACAGAATTCAATATAAATAAAAGAATGGTGCTCATAAATATGTTGGAATATTTTATTTTACTATTTCCGATGCCTATATACTTAATAATCATTCACTCAATGAAACCTCATATTATATCTGACCAAAATCGATTGACTTTCGTACCTCAGTGGAATATATGTACGTTATACTTTCGTTCTATCTTAATCTCTTTTTTAATCCTGGTTACAGAGAGGAAGCTGTATCACTTTTAAGAAAATCTGTCAAACATTTCAAAAATAGAGTATATAAAAACAAAATTTTACCTATGAGACAATGTTCAAATCATTAAAAAATATATACGGATGATAAAGTTTGATAAAAAATATCAACTTTGAAAAAGAAAAGCTTTCACAATGGCACTTATAGTCGATAAATGGAAAAAGTCATTTTGGGAAGGGAGTTTTAGTCAAAATTATTGAAAAAGAATCGAATAGGAATATACACTGGAATATTTTCAAATAATAATATTTGCCATGAAATTTTGAACCATATTTAATTTATATTAGTTTTTACCATATATATTTTTTTATATAAAATGACTCAAGGGTTAAACTGCAAAATTGTCTACAATTGATAAGATAGGTATTCTAAACATGCTGGATTACATTTTTGGTAAAATCAGATTCCTAAATTTAAAAAAAAACACGTTCAAGAAATGATTTTAAGTTAAAAAATATTGCCGGAAAAAAATAACGTACCGCTAATATATACAAAAAATGTTTATAAACGTTTTCAAAAATAGTTTTAAAAATTACGCTTCGAACAACAAATGTAAAAAAAAATTTATTTTCAAGTTCAATATAAATGAATAAGACATAAACAAATTAATTAGTGTAATGAGGCCATTCTTATCATCAGTGATTCATTAGTACTACTTTATTATTTCTTTCATATTTTTTAAAATATACTTAATGGAAAATTGAAAATGATGATATTAACATAGTATATTATATATCAATTTTATTTTTAAAAAAAATTTAACTTATTATATGCTAAAAAAATAATTTTTTTAGATTATGTAATTTTTACGTCATATATTTATATTATATATGGATCGTCATTTATTTTGTTAGTAATATGCAAAAATAAAAACAGACTCTAATTTTAGGGATATAAACGGAGCTCCGAATATAATCAAAAACAAAGATGGGAAATTTATAATATAGGAAAAAGAAATGATGAATAGATGGAAAGAATATTTTCAGGAGCTTCCCAACTTTAATCCCCACATGCTACATCTAGATGAACACTCTCCATGTCAAAACCTTGTACAAACAATAACAGAACAAGAAATAATCACATGCCTCAAGCATATGAAAAACAACAAAGCTAGGGGTCTAGATAATATTCCGAAAGCCTAAAAGCACTAGGAGATGATGGAATACATCTCCTCACAAAGCTTCACAATAAAATACTGGAAATGAAGAGATCCCTCAAAAATGGAGGCAGAGATATCTAGTTCCTATCTTCAAAAATAAAGGGGATCCACACAATTGTCAAATCACAGGGGCATAAAACTAATGTCACACTGTCTTAAATATGAAAAAAAAATGGAAAAAAGATTAAGAGATATAATCGAAATAGGAGAGACTCAGTTTGGCTTTATGTCTGGAAGATCAACAACTGATGCAATCTATGAAATTAGACAAATGAGTGAAAAATACAGGGAAAAGAACAAAAAGCTACACATGGCCCCTCTCGATCTAGAAAAGGCCTTCAATAGAATCCTAAGAAAACTTATCTGGTGGGCGCTATGCCAGAAAAAGGTTCCCGAAAAATATATAATAATAATAGAGGATATGTATATGGGACATATAACAATGGTTCGTAGCACAACATTTACTTCAGCAGGCTTCACAATAACCGAGGGAGTTTATCAAGGGTCGGCTCTCAGACCACATCTCTTCAATACAGTACAAACAGTCCCCTGGAATATGATATTTGCAGATGATATTGTGATAATTGCCGAATCCAAGGATGAAATGAAAGAAAGATTAGTGAGTTGAATAAATATACTAGAAAAGCATGGACTAAAAGTAAATAGAGAAAAGACGGAGTATATGGTGATAGGAGGAGATGAAACAGAGAGTATTGATATAAATGAATGACAGATATCGGCAATTGAAAGCTGCAAATATTAGGGCTCCACTATACAAACAAACGGCACAATAGAGAAAGAGATAAAGAGTAAAATTAATCAAGGGTGGGGAGATCTTTATCTGGAGTGATATTTGACACAAATTAAAGGAAAAAATTTACAGTTCCATAGTACAGCCAACTCTTCTATATAGTTCGGAAACATGGCCAACCAAGGAATCAGACGAGAGAAGTCTACAAACTATGGAGATGAGAATGCTGAGGATGATTGCTGGGATAACAAGAAAGGATAAAGTGCGCAGTACAAGAATACTATGTAGTTTAAAGGTAGTGCCCATCAAGACTAAGTTAATGGTAAATAGACTTAGGTGGTATGGGCACACAATGAGAAGGCCTATGAACCACATAAGAAATAAGGTTGATAGTTTGTAAATGATGGGCAAACGTAAAAGAGGAAGGCCAAAATTTCAATGGGGCCATAAAGTTAGAGCCAATATAAAGAAATATAAATTAGATAAAAGAAATTGTATGAATAACATGGAGAGAGATGTTGAAGGAGCTTACCATCAGAAAAGGTAAAAAATAAAGAGAAGAAAAAAAAATCGGACTAGGAAATATAGATATCTAATATATAAAGATTATGAACTATCGCCTTTCATTTTACATATATGACTAAGTCTAGGAGACAAATACATTAGAATCATATTGAGAGTATTAAAACCTCATGAATATAGAATGTAAAAGTATTGGAGGATGTATATTTGGTAGATAAAATATTATAGGTATAACGCTGTTCCATCACCCACAAATGTAAAAGAGGATAATAGATTATGTTTAGATTTATACCTGAATATTATAAAATTTCTTGCTATAAAGAGATTCATTATTTGCCATAGGACTAAATTAATAAAACCCTGGAGGATATCTTCAATTTCAAGCATTTATGGTTGGTTCATTGACATTTAGATTATAATCATCATTAATATATAGGCATAAAATGTTAAAAGTCATTTAGCGATTAAAAATATTTGAGAGAAACAATGGTCTAATTACCTGTACAAAACATATTAATTATAGTTAACCATTCTAGTTAAAATTATTTATAACCAAAGATTAAAAATGTTAACACATGTTACTGAAAACTATAAGAATGTAGGAATAGTTTTATGTAATATTTATTGAAAGCTTGCATAATACATACACATTATTAATATTTAGGCACTAAAATTTAAATATTATTTTTTAAAAAGAATTTTGGATAAAGCAAGTATTTCTTCTTTTTGTGATAAAAAAATAAATCTTTATGAATCTTTGACGCATTTTCCCATCATGGATGGATGCGTGCGTTGGCATTTCAATCCCTTTTTGCAATTGCCTTGCATATGTTCTTCACTGCATGGTTCTCCTTCCTCCTAGATGATAATAAAATCATTAAATGAATCAAAATTATCATCCATACAAATCGATTAAATATGATTTTTCTAATAAACATTTTAAAAAAAATCATAAAAGACAATTTAATATAAAATAAATTAAATTATAAAATCCTCTTTATAATCATCCACTATTGTTTTTAAAGATTTTATAGGGGATAGAGGGGGGAGGGAGGGGCTGAGTGGGACTTTTTCACTGTAAATTCTACAGAAGTCGTATTAAATCTTCCTATTTGAAAAACTTTAGCAGGACCACACTAAATTATAATTTTATATAAGGGGGGGGGGGGGGGGTTGGTAGTTAATTTTTCATAAATTTTATAAAATGATATTTAACAGAAAACTGACAAATTTACGAAGAGGGGAATTCGCTCTTCCCTCTTTCCGTTTAACTCTCATGTGCGCATCGCGTTGATAGCTCTTATAATTTTAGTTGTTCAATATTAAATGAAGGAGTACGAGGGAGTTAGCGTTTGCCTGTCCCGCCACCGCTTATTGGGTTTGTATTCTTGCTTCACTTAAATTCAGGCTCTTTCTTACTAATTTTATATTGTTGGCATAGAGTTAAAAAAACAATTGATGATAACTCTTGGGTATTCCGTCGTGCATATCCCTTTTGATAGGAGATTGTCCTCTTTGTTATCTTGTATACATAGTAATCCGCTAGAACATTGGCTCAATAGTAGATATGCCCCCCATCACAATTCGCCTTTCATCTAAAGGATATTCAACAATTGAATAAGAATACTAATCATCTAAAATATTTTATTTATACTTCTGCATTCTACATATGTTCAAGCATTAAATTTAATTCAATATACTTTGGCGCAAAAATAGCAGCACCCACATTGGTCCGAAATTATATCACCTTCGCAATCCGTGGGCTGAGCGTATACACATTTACGCGTTAAATTCCTACAAGGACAATAGGATTCAAAAGCATCCGCGACAAATCTTTTATATTGAATATTTTTGTTTTTGTAGTATATATAAAAAAAAAAAAATTTTTTTTTTCAAATTAGATTATTTTTTTTAAGTAACGATATTAAGTCAGGATCGGATCTCTGAAAAAAATCGGAGCTTAGCAGGGCCCTAAAGATTAGACCCTTTGCAAGTTTCAGAGATAATATCGATTACGGAAGGGAAATATTAATAATACCGGAGCGGGTTTCTACAAAATATATTCACAAATGACAATTATTTTGGCCAAAAAAATTATTACTTAAGCCTTGAAATTTAGTCAAGAGATGGTAAAACCTTTCTTCCCCGTTCAATCAATATGAGAAGTTTTTCTTAAATCGGTTAAATTAAGGTCCCTCGAAACACTAATCATGAAGGAGGAATTTCTTCAATTCTACAAGATGAATCCCCTGAAGGATCTGAGAATAATCATATTTAATCAAAAAAATATTTATATTCGCAAATAATAATATATGATCGTGTCGTAATTTATTTAAATATTGAAATGAATTTATTTTTGAAATCTCTCTTATATAGTTTTTGAGAGAGAAAAAAATAGGATTTTAAATGGATGTGGGAACAGAGAGAAGAACTAAATGATTATTTTATTGGACTTCATCCTATCATCGTTCCAGCATCTTTGAACTTTTGTTCAAAGGAGTGTTTTATTCTTTCAAAATTGACCAAAATGATATACTTTATTATATTAAAACCAACAACATAGGCCTAATTGCCATGTGAGAATGATCTTCAATTTGTTAGTACACATTTTTTTTGTATAAACTTTCAAGAGAGATTTTTATATTTTATTCAAAATAATATTATATGGATTTTCAAATTTAATTATTTTTCACATATATAATACAATAAATATATATATAAAAAGGAGATATGGAAATATTTCAATAATGTCATAACAACTAATGGGGTGATATTAGAGAGTTTTATAAATTTATGGTTATAAACATTTCCCTATTTAATTAAATAAAAAAAATTTTTAAAACAACTTGATTTAAAATGCTTTAAAATATACAAGAAAATTTCATATCATGGGCATAGTAAGACATTTCAAATTATTTCTAATGTCTTTAAAAAAATTAAATAATAAATTCTTTCAAAATTCATTCATTCATTCATTACCACGCCAGAAATTGCACGAAGTGCAATTTCATCACCCACCAGGAGTTGAAGCGTGCATCATGTATTTTCACTAGTATATAGATCCCATACATGATGTCTACCCGTTTTATTATAGTGGACGGTACCACTATGTAGCCCGTTAGCAAAGTGAAGAAGGAAGAAGTACAATAATGGTGATGTATTAGTTCCGTTTCCGGCAGAATAGTGTTAAGGAAAAAATAAAAAATAATGTCATATAAAAAAAATGTACCTGCGTCCTTAAGTGGTATTTAGTGAGCCAACAAAAAAATAACCCTTATATCTTGTTAAGTATTGAGAGTTTATGTTAAGTTTGCATGTAGAGTCTCTTCCTTGTTTGTTGTTCGGTGTGCCAAGATATTGTATGTCCCATAGATCTTATATGTTCTGTGCCAATGGTATTTGGGTTCGTCCGATTTATTGCGTTATTATTATAGCCAGTTTATCTTCCCATTGCCTGTTAGCTAATATTTTCGTAATTGTTATCGTTATCGTCGCCGATATCGTGTGTCCAGAAAGGAAGGTTGTGGGTTATTAGAGGAAGTTAGGTTATGTTGTTGTTGTTCAGGTTATTATCATTATCAAATACACTTGTTCCATTTATTGCAAGAACGTAAAGGTGAAAAACGGTTGCGATGTTAATTTAGGCCATATTTTAGCATGTATTGTAAATGTTCCTTTAGGTGTTTCTTGTTTTTGCTAAGTGCCATGAAATCTGCAAACGAGAGGTTAATCAGGTCCATATCTTTCAAACATTTCGCCAACCAATAGTATTTAGGGTTTTTCCTCCTACCGTCAGGGCACCATTTCAAGGACGAGAATATCATATTTTCCTGCGAGTGTCTTAAGCTATGGCCTAGTAATTCTAGTCTCCTCAAGGGTATGAGACGATTGATTGGTAGGATGTCGCATCTATTCCAGAGCGTTGTATTTGATGTGTTGTATGGGTAATACGTTTTGGTGATTCTTCTAAGGCATTTGTTTATAAAAGTTTGAATTGTGCTGATGTTACTTTTTGAGTCTTGCCAAGTCTCCAGGCCGTAGGTAAAAATGGGTACAATTAGGGATTTGAAGAGTCTTATTTTTAAATTAGTTGATATTTGGTTGGATGACCATAACTTCGACAGTTGATGATAGCGGAGTCTCGCATTCTTCGTTCTCGAATTCGTGTCTAAAAAGGTGAGGCCTAATGACGTTATCCTGGTTCCTAGGTATTTAAAATCAGACACTAATTCTATCGTATTACCCTCAAAGTTAAAGGGGTTTAAGTGACTCGCGTCAGTATTTGAGGTGATTAGTTTGGTTTTTGTGTAGTTTACTCTTAGACCATATCCATCACAGTTGTTGACAAATGATGATAAAATATTTCTTAATTTGTATTCTGAGTTGGCTAGAATACATACGTCGTCAGCATAACATAGAAAGTTTAAAGAGTTGTGCACATTGAGGTGTTGTTGCTCACTGTAATATGTGTTGAGTGCATATTCCTGTTTAAAAGATTTATTTAGGATATCATTCATTATTACATTAAAAATAATCGGTGAAAGGATGCATCCTTGTTTGAGGCCTCTATTTGCTTTAAAGGGTTGCGACTTCATATTTAAATGCTGAGGAACTACTTTATGATTGTCGTAAATTATCTTAATTAGCGCTATCAGATGTTTATCTATTCCAATGTTTTCCAGCAAGGGCCATATCTTATTCTGAATTATGGAGTCAAAGGCTTGACTTAAATCAATCATCAGGGCAAAAATGGGGGATTTATGCATTCTGGCCTTTTCCAGAATGACCTTAAGTGCCATGGTCAACTCCGTAGTATTTCTGCCCTTCCTGTATGATGTAATGGCATTAGAAAGGAATCTGTTAATGATTGGTTTAATCCTGACTGATATGATGTATGTGAACATTTTTAGTGTGACTGGAATTAGTGCAATACCTCTGTAATCTTTAAGGCAGTTTGGGGACTTATTTTTAGGGAAGTTTAGTATGATTGATGTCATCCATTCATCAGGAAACTTGCCCGTATTCCAAATCTCCCTAAAGAGGGGAAGTAGTAAGCTGGCACTTAGGTCTACCTCTATCTTCCAGAGTTCTGCAAAAATTCCATCCGTTCCAGCTGCTTTATGCATTTTTAGGCATTTGATGGCACCGACTATATCCGACTTGTTCAAATTCTGATTGGGTGATTGGAAGGGGTAGTCACATCTAGGTCTAGGCCATCTCGTTTTGTAGAGGTTCATGTAGTGGTCTATCCATAAGTCTAATTGTTCCTTAGGGTCAGTTATAATCTTGTTTGTAGTCTTGGTAAAGGATTGGTTTTAAAGGTGGTTAGTAGTTTTAGAGATTGGAAGGCCTTATAAATATTATTATTATCAAAATTGAATTGGATAGAATTCGATAAGTTAGCAATGAACAGTCTTTTGTCAGCTCTTATGCGGTGGGTAATGAACCTCCTGTGATGTCTTGCGAATTGATGGTGGGATATATTTGTTGTAAGATTTTTAATTATTTGTATTGTTGAAGGGGTGAGCCACTCTCTGCGCTTGGTGCGTGGTCTTAAGCATGATGTTATACTACCTAATACATTCTGCTTAATGTCCTTCCAGGTCAGGTTTGGGTTTATCATGCCATTTGCTGAGTTTCTCCATGATGTTAATTTAGAGACGAACTCTTCTTTCACCTCTAAGTCATTTAGTTGTGCCAAGTCTTTTCTAGCAATGTATTTTACAGTGGCGAGACTGCTCTGTCTAGTGTGGTTTGGGAAGATACTGTTGTTAATTTTGAGTTCACAGCCCAGTGGATAATGATCAGTAAAAAGTGTAAGGTTAAGTTTACTGATTACCCTGATGTCTTTCACCCATTTGAAAATCTTAGTGGAAATTATAAAGAAATCTATCTGTGAGGTAGTGCCAAAGGAAGGGCTCTTGTAAGTCATGATGTGATGAGTTGGGTGATTGAAGTATTACCAATTTTCAAGTTGAAAACCTCGCAGATTTCTATTAACCTTTTACCGTTGGGGTTCGTGCTTTGTATTAATGTGGCGTTTCCAAGGCAGGAAGAGTTCTTAGATTTACCTACCGAAGCATTGAAGTCACCAGAATGATGCCATCCCGATGCGGTAGTTCCTTTATTCTCCAATTCCGTATAGAAAACGCTATCATTGTGAGGCGCATATATATTAAGCAAATGGACTTTTTTGTATCCTAAGTTTAGGGTGAGGCAGCATATTCGGCTGGATATTGGGTTGAAGCTTACGAGTCTTACTAGTTTATTATGTATCATAAACGCCACCCCAGCCCATACGTGTTCTGCATTTGAGCTGCAATATAAGGTGTAATCTAATAGGTTCCTTACCTCAGTTACTTTAAGGTGCGTCTCCTGTAAAAAGAGGATATCGTAATGTTGGTCTTTCATAATTTGTCTTAGTATAGTTAGCTTCTCATTTAGGGACCTTATATTTAAAGAGATCATCTTAATATTGTGGTCCTTCATTGAAAACTTTATTAAAAATTTAATTAAGATTACCGTGCCGATTCTGTAAGGGAGTGAAGGGATAAAAGTAAAAAAAGTAATATATATATCTATTCATTTCAAATTATGTCATTCTGATGTAAGTATAGTTTATAAAGTTCCATTACTTATTTGTGTGCTACCTAGTGTTGTTAATTGGTTGGTTGTATAAAAAAACCAGACCCGGAGTTTGGGTCTAAAAAAACGACCAACCAGCCCTGAGCACAGACCCGGTGTTCAGACCTCGTTAAGATAAATTATCCTTAATAATTATTAAACTTTATTAATTAATAAAGATAAAAAGTATAAATTGATATTATAAATTA